TCACACCGGCCCAATAACATTATCGGTGAGTATATCATAGTTTTTATATAATTCCATCGCTCGTATGAATATTTTATTTGGATGATTATGGTGGGAATGAGAAATTATTAAGGTAATTTGACACGAACATTTTATTTTTTACATATATATAACAGATGTTCTTCAGTACACATTATGCCGGGGAGATTATAGGGCTCAGATTTCGAAATGGAGAGCCATGGAAGAAAGTTTTTGGACCTGTTTTTATTTACTTAAACTCTGTTTCATCAGATGATGAAGGCATTCTAACACTATGGACAGATGCAAAAGAACAGGTACTAAATTAATTTATGTACACAATATTCCAAGAAAAATAGAACAATAAGGTCTTTTTTTTTTAATTAGCAGTCTCGAATTTAATTAATACAGATGTTAATTGAAACCGAAAATTGGCCGTATGAGTTCCCTCTTTCACAAGATTTCGTTGGAGCTGATCAACGGGGTATTGTAAGTGGCAGATTACTCGTTAACGATAGGTACGTTAATTTAATTACTATTTTTATGTATTAGTGTGTAAGACTTTCGGTAATCATCATCTACATTTTTTGTGCTTTGGTTATCTCATTATTTTACTGTCGTTATTGTTCTTTCATCTATTCGTTGTGTATTGTTCTCCTTTTCACATTGTTTGTTAGTGCTCTTATTTCTGTATTTCATTTTTCAAACTGCTCGTGGGTCTTTTAAGAATAACTTGTTTATATCTACGAGGTAGGGATAATGTCTGCGTACATTCTATTTCCCCAAACTTCACTTGTGGAATTACGTTGTGTATGTTGTTTTTGTTAGTGTATAAAATCTTTGTGGTCCGATCCTTCCCCAAACATGCATGTATAGTGAAACTTTAGTGCACCAAGCTGTCTTTTTCGGTGTATAAGAATTGAATGAATTTTATTTCACTCAGTAACAACTTACTAATTTTTTGTTATAGCTACATGAGTAAAACACTTATCACTCCAAATTCAACTTTCATTGGGTTGGCTGCACCTGGAGATGTTGGATCATGGCAAATTGAAAATAAGGTTTGTGTTTTTGTGGTTTACTTTGATTAAATGGGCGGATAAAATTGAATTTAGATAAATCAAAATGTGTTGATTGTTGAGTTAATAAATGAACGAGTTACTTACTCACCCAAATATTAATTGGGATGAGATAAGTTGGGTCAAAATGTGCTAAACGGTGGCTAAATGATCAATCTCTTTGTTTTTGTATAATATGTTCAGACGTTATTTCTTTTAATTTATTATGACTATATACAACATATTAAACCAAAAAATACATAAATATTTTGATAAAATTTCTTATGAGTTATTTTTGAACTTTACATTTAACACAAAATCGGTTCAATTTTTAGATGAGTTATATCGAATGTGTCAAAATAAACTGGGTTAATAAATAAACACTCAATTATCACGTTCGAACTTGAATAGATTGGGAGAGTCAAGTTTTCATGGGTAATTTATTACCTCGAATTTTGGTATATGATTTTTGTATATTATTTTTCAGGGTTATCAGTTTTGGACTCAAACCGATAATGAGGGATATTTCTTGATTAACAATATCATCCCTGGAAATTATAGCTTGTACGCTTGGGTCCCTGGATTTATTGGTGATTACAAATACATGGCCTACATCAACATAACCCCAGGCATGGATACATTTTATATTACTTTAACGTGCCAGTATTTCTCTATTAGTCTGTTCGACTTTACAAAAAAAAAACATATTTCTATATTCGAAAAATAATTTATACTTTAATCTTTCATTTTACCCATAATAACATATTTCCACGGCCACAAATCTTTGTCCTAAAAATTCATATTAATTTCTTTCTTAAATTCTGTAACATTACCATATAGATGCAAATGTAACATGTCTCCTATGGGTTCAATTGAACTCAACATAGAGTATGTATATACAAATTTCACTACAATTTCAACGAATATTAAATTAATTACAAACGTAAATCATAACTTCCTATGTGTAATAGGTTCAATGGTAAAATTATAAAGGTCGTATTCTTAAATTTAAATTTTGAATCCGTCTCTGTAAAAACATACAGGATCAAGAACTAGGTTACAAACTCTTGTGTATTACCCTCCAAGAAATGGTCCAACATTGTGGGAAATAGGCATTCCAGATAGAACTGCTGCAGAATTCTTCATTCCTAATCCACAACCAAAACTCCAAGACCAATTATACATTGCACATTATGAAGAAAAGTAAGTCAATTTCATATGCACTATATTTATTTTTCGTAACGAAAAAATCACTCAATTTTACCTAAGTACCACGTAAGTCACTTTACTATTTTTGTATTTATTTTTTCAGGTTTAGGCAATATGGATTATGGGATCGTTATACAGAAATATATCCTAATGATGATTTAGTCTACACTATTGGATCAAGCAACTATCAAACAGATTGGTACTTTGCTCATGTGAATAGATATATTTACAAGTATGTTCACAAACATCCTTTACCTTTTAGCTTGTTTACATAGCATGCACTGACAGCGTAAATAATTTTTATACGTAATTTAATATATCGTAGTAGGTTGTCTGTCCACTTGGGTATTAACGTGTTTTTAATAGTATTACTATTTACTAATTAATTCAAATTATTATGATCACTAATTATGTGTGATTAACTGAGGACATGATCGTTGATAGGTGGGTGTGTAAGTCAAGTATTAGTGTAGAACTTTAGTAGGTTACTGAGCGTATTTCTTTTCCATAGACCAAACATAGTACTATCTAATTGTGTTTTTCACTTCGTTTATCTTATTATCTTGATGTTACTGGGTGTTGCGTTATTAATGCTTCTTATTAATCTCTCCTTGAGTCTAGAGTCTATCATTAGTAGCCTCCTAACCATCACAAGATAGGGATAAAAAAAATATGTATTATCTTTGTGAGACGATCTACTTATAAGATTATACTACGTACCTGATTCTAATTCTTTTTGCCAAAAAAGGGATGATGGGGACAAAACATATATACCAACTACATGGCAAATTGTGTTTGATCTTCAAGAAGTAAAGGATTTCTCAAATTTTACTCTTCAACTAGCATTAGCATCAACAAATGAAGCTGAATTACAAGTATGGACTAAACTATTTTTCACATTTTTCTTAATTTGTATACCTTGTATATTCCTCATGTATACATTGTATTTTTTTCGATTAATTAACTCCGCGTTTTATTTATAGATCCGAATAAACGATCAAAATCCAGAGCATGCACCTCATTTTACGACAGGGTCGATAGGCAAGGATAACGCAATTGCAAGACATGGAATTCATGGATTATATAGAATGTATAGTATAGATGTACCTAGTGATCTTCTAGCTATTGGAAGTAATACTATGTTTCTTAAGCAAAATAGAGGTTCGAGCTCTTGGAGTGGACTCATGTATGATTATATTCGTCTCGAAGGACCCTCCACAAATGATTAAATAATCCAAGTTGGTGGATTATTGCATAAAAGGTAATTGGGGGATGCTGATACAATTACAATAGAGAAATATACAAACTGCAGTCTCCATAGCAAACAAAATTATAGCTATGAAACACAATTATCAAAATTATAGCTATAGAACCTTATTATGTCTATCATGTTTGCTATTTTTGAAATTTTCTCTTTATTAAATCATATGGGTCAATGGTTCAAAGTTTGTTAATTATTTGGTACAAGAATTGAAAAAAGATTTAACAATTTTTTCCGTTATTTCCTCAACTTATTTTAGAGGATATTGGGGTTGACAAACAAAGAAAGACATTATTCCTACTAATTTAATAATTTTTAGACTTGTAGTTTAACTTCTCTATTGTAATTTATTTAAACTTTAAAGTACTAAAATTGAATTCCTACTTGTAACGATGCATATTATTATTAAAAAAAATAAAATCTCTTTTAACTAAACAAATAAATAAATTGAATTCCTGTTGTATTTAGTTCTCCAAAAAAAAATTCTTCTTAGTTTCCATGCTTTTCTTCTAATTTTCCTTGCATAACGTTATTGTAGTAGCACGGTCTAAATTCCATTTAATTTAGCCAATTTTTTTTTTGGATTTTACCGAAGATTATTAGTTTTAATATTCATTTACTTTAAATCTTGGTCTCGTGAGATCATTTTTTAATTAATTAATTATTATTTTTTGGAGAAAGACCAACCTTGCCAGCTCAAATTTTTAAATTACACAATTATAAAATGTATCAGAATCAAACCCCTATAGTATATGTTAATTATGTCTTAAATTTTTCCCTTGTATATTTTAGGAAACTATAATTCTTATTAGTTTAGGAAACCTTTGTCTTAATGGATTTGGAAAAGTAATATATCATCTTTATAGGATTGGAAGACCCTTTCCTTATAGATTTGAGACGACTACTTGAGATCTATATATAGGGTATGTAATTGGGGATTATAATGCATTGTAAAATTTGTTCTCTTTTTTTCATAGTGGAAAACTTTCTCGATCTGCTTTTGCTGTAAGGAGCCGAACCTCATTAAATCTTTGTATTGTTTTTCTTCTCTATTTTTTTTGTTTGTGACTGTTTACTAGTTAATCCACGATATTTCCGCAATAGTATCTGATATATTTCTATCAGAATATCATAAGTGCTAGTTATATATATATATATATATATATATAATTTTTTGTGCGTTTTTGTCAATCATCAACGCAAATACCTTAATTAATATTCTAGTTTCAATGAAATACGTTTTCTTATTGATTTCAACTACTTATATTATCTTACCTAAACCTAAAAGGTTAATAATTTCCACTCAATAGTTAACAAAAGTAAAAGTTAATTAAGGGAGTATTGAATTAGATTCAGAATATTTCACTTGTCTAATCCGTTGCGTGACATGTTAATATACTTTTATTTACTTAATTATATATTCAACGTCTTTAACGTTGATAGTTGTTCTCTTGCAGTGTTTTATGATGGGAAAGATGGTGAAAGGAATTTTATTTTGGTTTACAATTATAGTACAACTTTTCTCGATTGTTACTTCTAGGAGGACGATGCATCATGCAAGGTACTACTATACTAATATAGTTTATACGAATGTAAACTGAAATAAGCCGCGTTTATTCAAATATATATATATATATTTGTTAATGATTCATATATCTGATTTTTTTTATTTGTCTAATTATTATAGGCATACCCGAGTTAATCATATACATGATGAGATGATGCATCCTCCTCCAGTCACACACAGACATGTTGATATGATGCATCCTCCTCCAGTCACACTGCACATCTCAAATCAATATGTAGGGATTACACTAAATATATTGTCATCGTTGTAATTATTTAATTACGAGTAATGTTATGTGAGTGATAACTTATATATTATGATATTATTATTGTTATTAGGTGGTGATAGATAATGGCATTGTTCAACTTACTCTAACAAATCCAACTGGACATATTTCTGGGATAAGTTACAATGAAATTGATAATCTACTGGAAAAAAGCGATCTAGAAGTAAGGAGAGGGTAAGTACGTTTTTTTTTTTTGTTCTTTTCACTGTAATAATAAAGTATAATTTAGGGTAGGATAATTATATAAAGTTACAAAGTTAGGATAATTATATTTGAATTCCTATTGTATTCAATAATTTTTAATTAATTTTTTTTTCAAATGCAGATATTGGGATGTCATGTGGAAACTTCCAAAAGACCACGGTGGCACTTTTGATACGTAAGTAATCTAAATTTTATGTTAATATATGAAAAACTATATAGTTTTGCTTTTTTATACTACATACATAAATATGTTGTGTGTTTTATTATTAATTAATTATGTATGTAAAAAAAATATTTATTTCAGGTTTTTCATGAAAAATTTCAAAGTTATATCACAAGATGATAATAAAGTTGAAGTTTCTTTTACAAAAACGTGGAGTTCCAGTGCAGACCATGATCTTCCTCTAAACATCGACAAAAGGTGAATTTTATATATATATATATTATTATAAGGTTAATAACATTTTTGATCGCTCAAATATTGATAAATTCTAATTTTAGTGTTTGCAATATCTAATTAAGCATGTTTAACCTTCAATTACTTGAAATGTTCACTTTTAATCACTTTTGCATATGAACATTCACAAGTTTTCAAAATTATTAACAGCTGTGCCGTTAAATTACTCATGTGTTATGTTAAATTTGTATTGTTACTTTATATTTAGGGTAATATAATGTAATATACTCCTAAAATTGTCCAAATATAATATATTTCCTACATAAATGAACCATTTATACACATTTTAATTGTTGATAGTTACATGTATATTTTGTCATTTATCACTCTGACTAAAATATGTATTTATCAATAACTGAGAGATCAAAACTATTATTTTCCATATATTATATTATCAATAATGTGAGTTTGTGAATGTCAACTAATTAAGTATCGCAAGTAAATTGTTGCTATTTTTTTGTTTTGTAATTTAAAATAAATATATGTTAATTTTTTCTTGAACAATATTATAATATGCAGGTTTGTGATGCTAAGAGGAAATTCAGGATTTTATTCATATGGAAAATTTGAACATTCAGAGGGAATGCCTGCACTTAGAGTAGATGAAGCAAGAATTGCAATCAAGCTCAGTCAAAACTTGTAAGATTTATATATATGCATACTATAATTTCTCGATTAACGATGTTCAACTGATTATTATCTATCTGTTGTTGCTGGTAGCTTCGCCCTTGCTTTTTAACCTCGGGTTGTATCTAATAGTAAATATTTTGGTGAATAAATGAATTATTTGCTATTATTTTTTTTTCAATTAAATTGTTATAATTTTGGTGAATTAATGAATTATTTGCTATATTATTTAGGTTCCACTATATGGCTGTATCAGATGATAGGCAAATGGTAATGCCAACAAATCAAGATATATCCCATGGAAAAGTCCTTGGCTATAAAGAAGCTACTCAAATAACACATCCATCCAACTCTCCATTCAACTATGAGGTAATTATTATTATTAATTAAAGGATTTAATTTTCTCCATAATTACATTTAATCATTAATGTTGATAACTTTACATGTATTTAGGTTGATGACAAGTACCAATTTTCTTCTGATAACAAAGATATCAAAGTACATGGATGGATTTGTAATAATCCACATGTAGGTTTTTGGGTGATTACACCAACTAATGAATATACATGTGGTGGACCAATGAAACAAGATCTTACTTCTCATTCTGGTCCCACCTCTCTAGCTGTAAGTAATTTTACGTATTATGTGTTTCAATTTACGTGACACATTTTTCTTTAATTCTTAATGTATATACATACTTTCTTTTTTTTGCAGACATTTTTTAGTGGCCATTATACAGGTCCACAATTAGGAGTGGATCTACAAGATGGAGAATCATGGAAAAAAGTATTTGGTCCTGTTTTCTTTTATCTCAACTCAGATTCTGGTAATAACCACCAAACACTTTGGGAGGATGCTAAAAGACAGGTAATTTAATCATCATATTCAACTCTCGTATTTAAACAAATATAATAAGGTATGAATTAAAGTTACAAAATTCTATTGTATCTGTCTAGTAACATGTTGATGTGTGAGATCATCTGATTGAACACCATTTTTATATATTTCATTATGTATCTTTGATAAATACAAACTAACATATATATATAAAATGAAATTTTATTCATTTGCAGATGTTTGAAGAAACTAAAAAATGGCCATATGATTTCCCACAATCAAAAGAATATCTCAAAGCCAATGAACGGGCCACAGTTAGCGGTCGATTATTGGTCAACGACGGGTATAATAATGCTCTTAACGTATTAAAAATGACTTATATTTGCTCTTTTTTCATCTATTGAATAATAATTTTCCGATTTTAAAAATATCCTTCTTTCACTTATTAAACCGAATATTTTGTGATTTTGGGTTAGGTACATAAGTGAAGATCCTTTTTATGCAAAATCTGCATATGTTGGATTGGCCCTGCCTGGAGATGTTGGATCATGGCAAACTGAGACCAAGGTATTAAGTCGCGCAGTTCATTTTATATGACATTTTTTTAGTTTCTTAAAAAAGATCAATAACTTATATTTAAAAATAATTTAATTTTAAATTTCTCATTTTTACAATTTTATAGCCATACAAAGGTCAAAAGTGTGTCTTTCTTTAATTTTATGTCTGATCAAATAAGTTCACATAAATGTAATGATCAATGAAGTAATCTTTATATAAATGTTAAGATTAAAGTTGTTGTGTTTTTAACTTCTATTTTTTGCTTAGGGTTATCAATTTTGGACTCAAACAGATGAGTCTGGATATTTCAAGATTAATGGAGTTATACCCGGAACTTATAACTTGTACTCATGGGTCCTTGGAGTTATTGGAGATTACAAATACAACCTTAACTTTACCATCACTCAAGGTTCTTTCTCTTTTCTTTTTCTTTTCCTTTTTCTCAATAATAAATGAGCAGTCTGGTACACAAAACATTCTGGCATTCTCACACGAATCATGTAAAGGTCCGGTTGATGTGGAGTTGTAGACAATCTGCCCTGATATTTCACTGTTCGAACCTGTGATCTATATGTCAGACGAAAATAAATTTTTCAATAATAAATTTATTAATTTTGTGGTTGCAGGAAGTGAATATAATCTAGGTGACTTAGTTTATAATCCTCCAAGAAATGGTCCAACTCTATGGGAAATTGGAATTCCTGATAGAACTGCTGCTGAATTTTTTGTGCCTGATCCATTGCCTAGCCTCACCAACCATGTATTCATCAACACTACACATAGGTAAGTTTTCATTAAACCTAGTTCACTTTGTTTTATGAGTTCAACTTCTATATATATTATCGATCGACGACGTAACAAATATGTACATGAATACTTATTGCATGTAAAATAATAAGTGTATAAGAAGACTTATAATCAATACACTAATTAAATATTGCTCAATTTGATATATCTTTTGTTATTTGCAGGTTTAGACAATATGGTTTATGGGATCGTTATACAGATTTATATCCTAATGAAGATTTAGTATACAGAGTTGGTGTAAGTGATTACACAAAAGATTGGTTCTATGCCCATGTAACCAGGTAATTAATTTGCAATAACTGATAAAATTACTATCACGTGACATTTAGTTCATGAATTCGAGCTGTGAAAACAACCTCTTAGAGAAATGCAGGATAAGACTGCATATGTGATCCTACGTTTCTCTGAACCCTAAGTATAGTGAGACCTTAGTACACCGATCGAGCTGCCATTTAAAAAAAAAAACATATTATTGACAATTTTTAATTTTCATTTTTGGGATTTTGCCATTGCAGGAGGACTGTACATAAACAATATATACCAACAACATGGCAAATTTTATTTGATCTTTCAAATGTGGATCCAAGTGGAACTTATACACTACATATGGCATTGGCTTCTGCCACTTCTTCTCATTTGCTAGTAAGTAGCTTAATAAACTCCATTTCTCTAATCTCTAACATACTTTCTCGTCTCAATTTATATGATACATTTTTTTCATTTTAGTCTGTCCTATGACTAATCTGGACTACATATATAGCATCGACACATGAGAAATCTTGTTACAATGTGTTTATGACTTTTTATGTTTAAAACGTTACATAGCCATAAGATCATTGGACACACTTATAATTTATTAATTGGACTTATTTTAACCTCTTTGATACCTTATTGTCAGTACATACAAGTTAAATCTTATCGATAAATTGCTTAATCCCTTACTTTTCTCCTAGTCTCTTGTTAAATTATATATATAATTGGATATTAATATTATTGTGTTTTTTTTTGTTTGAATTTTAGGGAAGAATAAACAACCCAATCAGACCAAGGCCAACTTTTCAGACCCCAGGAATTGGACAAAGTAATGCAATAGCAAGACATGGAATTCATGCACTATACTCACTTTTCACTTTTGAAATTCCGGGGTATAATTTACAAATAGGAGAAAATATCATATATTTAACGCAAGCTAGAGGTGGTAGCCCTTTTAACGGAGTAATGTATGATTATATTAGACTCGAAGGACCTCCACAGTAAATACGAGAGATTATACATATTTTTGAGAAAGTTGTAGGTGTACAATTTAATTTATTCATTTGTTATTTTTTTTTATATGTTTATTTGTCTATTTGAGAAATAAAAGCTCTTGTTATTATAACGTTCTCGTATCATATCAAAAGTTATGAAAACAAATCGTTCATTTATTACTTCGGTTTAATATAATAACCGATAAACACCAGATAATAAAATCGAGCATCATTTGTTTATATTGTTATCATTATATAAATTTCAATGAAAATCTTGGTTCTGTCACTGTTAAAAAACATAAACGGTTTCCGCTGCATAAACAATATCATTGGGGAAAGTGAGCTTTGTGTTTGCGGTGGTACCCTTAATTAACAACATTTTGATTTGTAGATTCCTCAAAAAGAGAGAAATGAAGCAAACACTAGAGATTTGATTTTAAATATTTATTTATAGATCTTACGTGATGTAAATATGAAATAATTAAGGTTACGTTATATTAGATATCGAATAAAAAAAAGTATTGTAGTATAATGGCATGAAAACGGGGTTATGGAGAGCAAATGCAGACATCATGCAACTAGGTGAAACACCACAAATGTTTCGTCCTGGATGGCGAAAGTTCAATAGTCGAAAATATTATTACCTTATGCTTTGACTTACGTAGCATGTGGCATGTAAAATCCTATATGAATCAGTAAGGACAACCTTGCAAAACTAAATATTTTTGGCTTCACCAGAAGCGAAGTAGTGTGAGTAATATAGAACATGAAAATGTAAGTTCCCAAGCAATGAACGAGTTTGAAATTCTACCATAATTTATAAGATATACTGGATCCAAAAGCTATAATTAGTTATACACTGGTCATAATAGTATGGAAAGTATGATGAAAACTCTGTATATTTGTTGAAAATTCACCGAATATGTATGTATAATAAACTTTAGTTAACTCATAATTTTTAGATCTTGAATCTGCCTTGATCAAAGCGGTTAGAGTTGTGCACCGAGTAATGGTCAGCATTTCTTGTATTTTCCTTCAGTAAGCTTCATCCTCCCCCTAATTAACCAACAAAATATATTGTGTAAATTATACATGGTCAAATAAGAATCAATATGATTGCAAAATTAATGATCTACTTAGGGGTTGTTTAGAACAAAGATAAGATGAAGCCAAAATTTAATTAATTTGTTTGACATACAAGAAAGATTCAATCCCTAGATCAAGTTAATCATTATAAAGCTTTAAGAAAATTGTGTGTTTTTTAAAAATAAATACTGGGCAGTTTAACTGGTGAAATAAGAAATTATATTATAATTCAGAATCAAACAATAAAAGTAATATCCACTAAATAATCCTGTTATTTTAAATTCCAACATTATAATTTCATCATTATTGATTTCGAAATAACTTGTCCACCGATCAAATGACTCCTAAGTGTATTACTAATACTTTATTAATTAACTATTAAAAAATGAACACATTCAAATTTTGCTTATTTAATTAACTCACCTTCTTTTGAGTCATGAAGTGAACAGATTTCTTTTTTGACATTCCTTGATCTCCATATTTCTTCATTAATTTTTCTCTAACATAAGTCTCATATATAAAAGTAGCTCCTCTAAATTGGGGTAAAACTAACCATGCCACAACAATCAACTTCACATCATACCATATTGGTATCCTAATAATTATCAAAAAAAAAATTTAAAAATAAAGTTAGTAAATTATTTTCTTAAAATTGTATTTTCACAAAAATAAAAAGAATAAAAAAGAGAGAACTTAGTTACCAATTAAGAATGGGTTGAAAAAGCATCTCCACAAGTGTAAGAAAAGAATATAGAATCCAATAAGCAAGCCATTGTTCATCATCCAATTTAGATGTACTCTCTATAGCTACTATTGATGCATACCTACACAATATTTGTATATATATGAAAATTCTTAACATATCAAGGCAATCGAAAAAACTAGCATTTTTTGAAGCTTCATACGGTCTTTATGTTCAGGTGCAAATAGTTTGCATCTTTATAGAGTTTCATAAGGTTTTTATGTTTAAATATAGATAGTTTGCATCTTTATAGACATGTCTATTTCACCAAACTCTCATAAATATAGAATTTGATAAAAATAAATAAATAAATTATTACCAAATTTATAACTATATACTTGTGAAAAAGAGATACATATGACACCTTATGCAAATTTCACATCAAAATGAGAAAAAGAAGGTAAAGAACCTTATAAAACATAATACTATTTCTGTATTTCACATAGACATATATTTGGGCTCGATAATGATGTAGCGCGAAAGATAAAAGGGAGATAAGAGAGATTAATTATTTAGAAGAATATTACTACTCACAGAGGATAGATCAACATCATCACAGGCCTGCAATTTTAATACAAAATACAACTTGTCATTTTCAAGAATTTCCCCCAAAAAGTAAAAAATTAGAATGACAAAAATAGGAAATAAAAGATTATAATAATGTTACCCAGCAAGAGTATGAAGACTAGTGATCAAAGTCCACAAGTGACCCATAATTTCTCTTCAATTAAATGCTTCAAAAGAAACTTTAGAGACAAAATAAAATAAAATAAACAACTTAAGCAAATAATGAAAAATTATATGATAAAGTAATTTGAGTTGAAGAATTGTATATTTATAGGACAAATTGGAATCAGGTTCTTGCTTTAACGTAGTGTCCTAGGTTTAGCACATGACAGATCAACTGAACTTAATTTATTAATTAAGCAATACATTAACTAGATCCAAAGTAAATAACACATCATTACATTGAGTATTTAATTAATACCAAGATCATGAAAATAGTAAAATGAGAGAAGAGATGCTGTCCAAAAATTTGAAGTTTATGAAATTCTTATCGCCTTTTTTATTTTTATTTTCTATTCGATTTTTGTTACTCGTATTGGTTTGAAGTTTCTGAAATTCTATTGCTCTTTTGATTTTTTCACTCGGTGTCCGATATAAACAACTTTTTTTTTTCTCAAAAATTAAAATCAAAACTTCTGATTAGAAATGGATGTTATCCCAATATCTTAAATTGATATTATATTAATACCTCCATTTACGATCAAATGGTAATAGTATATGAATGGATTCTTTAAGAAAGTCAAATCAAACTATTATTATACACTAAGGGGTCGTTTGGTAGAGTGTATAAGAATAATGCTGAATATGATGTATTAGTAATGCATGCATTAGTAATGCAAGCATTAGTAATGCTTGCATTAGTTATGCTTGCATTATTTCTTATACATTGTTTGGTTTGATGTATTGGAAATAGCAAGCCTTGTATAAAGACTATTAAAAAATATTTGTTTACAAAAATACCCCCACATTATTATTATTATAATTATTCTTATTATAATAATAATAATAATTATTATTATTATAATTAT